CAGTTGCAAGATGTGAATCAACTGCCTCAGATTTGACTGATTCTACTTTTCCACACTAATCACTACCTGTTCTACCTGTTCTCTTCGATCTTGTTAACCTTCTTTCGTTTGAGTCTCTGAAGAACACACTTGTTTTGGGTATAGTATATTATATTTAATATAAAATCTAGGAGGTCATATGGAGTGACCATGGCTGCAAGGCTGATTAATGTCACCACGATTACGTGTTCCGGTGTCTACCTCTTCTGATCTAGTGAAAGCCTTCTCAGCCAAGGTGTGTGTTCAGCTTCAATGATTATATGGTTACAAACTAATTCTACTACAGATTCAATCTGTTATGGAGTTACTGAATTATTTTCACTGGTGCAAATAGTTGTGGAAGTGGTAGTAAATGAACAAATGAGAAAGTACGTGATTGGTTTTAGAAGAGGAGCGTTTTGCCGTTCAAACTGGGCTATCTGTTACGATCAAAGATTATGGAACCCCCTTAACTTCATCAAACCATCAGACTCTATATCACACGTGTTCCTCATAACATAGGGTGCAAAAGTGGGTTTCCCCAGTCCTCTACTGTCCTGACTGCAAAAATATTTGGAGGATTAAATGTATTGTGTTGCTCTGAACATTGTTCAGGAGGAATGGAGGGACTCAAAAATCTAGCCACTGGACTTGAACCTCTCTTCACTATGATGAATATAAATTGTCACCTAGAGAAAATAAGCCTATTGTCCTGAATTTAGCCTGAAGACATTTAAATCTTAAGAGATATCAAAAGTGATTAAAACTTAGTTGAGCTTTAAATTAAACTCGACGCTCTGGAAAAATGGACGAAAGATTACAGTTTAAGAGATGTCTTATATAAATGCTTCATGGCGAAATTATGGCTTCACACAACAGAAGTAACCTGTATCATCATCTTTTACTAACCTACACGAATCAATAGCTAGAAATTTGTTCACATTGCTACGGACGGTGAGTAAAGTCCGTTTTAGTAAATTTACGTAACAGACATTGATCTGTAGTAATATTAGTCCTAACCACACAATCCTCAAAGCTGAACAAGAGATAACTGGGAAAATAGATATTCAGCATTTGACACAGAGAGAAGACCAACAAAGGGGAACGTGAGAACATTCACTCAGTCGGATGTCACGGTTTGGGCTCTCCATATCTAGCCAAAATGTGTTCTTCAAAAGCGCTAGAGGTTATATCGCTTAGCTTTAGGATATGACGAGTTAGGGTAGGTAATTATGCAAGATATCATATATTGGGTAGTCACATCGTGACAAGTGTACAATTTTAGGGTGCGGTCTATCATCATAGCAGTACTAATAACGAACCTAGACCATAATTCTAAGGATTTTCTGAATTAATTAGCCTCAATTCACCACTGACTTAACATAATTACTCCTGACTTGTTAGCAAAAGTGACAGTCACTGGTATAGAGAATCAAGTATATTGAAATTCAGAGAGACATTGAATGCGATACGAAAATAGAGAAACCATCAAAAAACTAAATCAAACTTAGTATTACTATTATCATTATTTTGAAGTTAATCAGAAGATGGATACTATACATATTAACATGCAGTGTTAGGGAAATAGCGCTACATGTAGGTGTGAAAATGATTAATTGCAACAAAAAATTTGACGTCAATGTCGGCGCAATTTATGGATCCTACGTTTGTGATGCATTAGAAACCATGCATTATCATTTTCCAGCTTATGTCATTAGATTGTTTCTATCGAAACCTTACGAAAAATACAGCTAATATTCAAGGCTTTTAATTACTCACTTAACACATGAACTTTGTTTTGGTTGTTGATTCGCGACAGGCAGTAGCACTACTTAGGCTACAGTGGTTTGGGGTTTCCAATTTCGTTTTAAAGAAAACTATCATCGAAAACAGAAGTTCGTTTCCTTACTCGGAAAACAAAATGGTGTGGAACTAAGTAGAAGAAATATTGATGGTGAAGAATAGTCAAGTTATATACATAAATGTAATAGATCCTTCGAACTTTGGTGTAGCAGTAAATAAATCTACAAAATAAACCGTTGTGTATGTTTTTGACATTTGGTGCTGATCTTATTAGTTTTAATAAACACATCTATCTGAGGGTACTCTGTCACGCATCCGCGTCAGATCACGAGTAAATACTCGCGCTACGCATTTCTTACAACCACTAACCAGCTTAGATCAATCGCTTCCATATATATCGATAGCCTTCAAACCTTTTTACTTTTTACTCCTGATTTGACTGGGTTGGTATAATTTGATTATAAAGGTGTAACGAGTAAAGAAGTTGTCGATCTCCGAATACTTGTGGCATTTTTATGGATACTAGTGGAAAGTTGTCATATTTTTCAACTCGAACTAAATAAACTAAAATTTAGAAGATGGTCTCTCTATTATCAGAAAGACTGGAGATGGGAATTAAAGGTGGATGTAACAAGTAGCATAATATTGTGAGGTTATGTTGTAATATATATATATCAACATCTAAGTTGATGAAGAAGAGGACTGAGCGCAAAGAAAGAGATAGAGAAATAATGGTAACCGATCAAAGGCCACTCTATTTATGGACGTTTTTATGTTATCTGAAAGTACAGTTTTTCGAAGAATGCCTTAAATATTCTCCTATCCTGCACACACAAATATATTGATATTGACATGTCATGCGAGCTGACGTCTTTTTAACCATCTATGAACAGAGTCATTCTGATTGTAAATTTTATGTCACAGCCGTTATATTTCGACAGTGTCATATACCAAGCAGATCTGTTTTCAGAGATACATGATATTAGTTATATGTATAATCCCCTCAGTAGGATTCAAATTCGGTCCGTCACACTACGTTAAGCAATTTTGTCCGCGATCAGTACCTACGATGTTCCAGGAAAATATTTTATTCGCCTCGTGTTCAGCTAACAACCCGTACAGTCAACGGTAAGCACACAGAAACAGGTTCTAAACACTGATAAGATTCAGACTACATAGTACTTAGTGGTTGGAACGGAGTAAGCCAGGTGACACATATGAATCCTCTGGGTCAGTAGTGTTGAGAAGATTCAACCTCTTTTGCAAGAATGTGCTTTATAATGTGGTGAAGAATTTCAGTGACTAGTGATTTGTTGTGTAGAAAGAAATTCCAGAAGTGAAAGATTAGAATTCAGCTTTTGAAGGTTTTGAGAATTCACTTCAAAATTATCGTATGAATATGAAATTGCCTCTCTACCTAGATGCATAGTTGCATCAGTTTTGAATAGCTCATCCGAAAAATAGTCATGTTCTTTATCAATAATTATTTTACGAAATACATACCGACAGCCCTTGTCCCAATGTTCTCAAAGGTTGTGATATGCCTTTACTTAGAATGGCATAAGTGATTATATATCATGCATAATTTTTCAACAGCAACAGTGTAATTTTAAGAATGCCTACTCCTGGATCATCAATGTAGTGACTCAGATGGAGTGATGAACCGTGACCCTTGATCGAAAGGTTAAGGTATCCTAGTTTCTCATAAGTTTAAGACAAACCCAATCATGGCTGTCTTGGCAGTAAGCTTAAGTCGGTAGGTAAACATTCACCACTGATAAACTTGCCCAAATAATCAGCATTTTAAGGCCAGTGTGAATTATTCATTGTCACTCCTTAGCCAGTTTGTACAAGCAACTTTGAGGTCAGTTTTCAGGCAATTTGGTGGTCCTGTTTTACATTAATCTTTCATAAGTTTTATTCAATATTTGGAGCGTGAAAACATGGTGCCTAATTCCCTACCTTAGGATAAGTAAGCTATCAAGCGTATTCAATGAATAACCATGATATCAAATTTGGTCACTCAAAGTTGAGCCTTACAAAGAATAACTACTGGAGTATAGCTGACTAAGAGACAACCCTTTAATGACTGTCAGAATTCCGAATAACCCTAGGTATTCCCTAAAATACTTGAGGTTATTCCCAACATATAACTTGCATTGAACACTCATAGAATAGAGGTAGTAGACTTTCCCGTAAGCATATCGTACACTGAGTACAAACAGTTAGAACTTGAAATTCCTTATAGGCTGAGGTGGTACAAATAGCTTCTCATGAGTTCAAACAGGCAAATTCAACTATTCTACATTTTTTTATAATAAACGGAACATACACATTGAAACATTAAATAACAAAGATTAGTTCGCTGAACTAATCTTTCTTATTTAATATTCTACAGGAGTATGAATAGCGTGTCATGCTAATTTACCAACAATTGTTTAATTAGAGATTGTTCTGTAAATCTCGTTTCTTAAATGGAGGCTTCAAAAAGACACATTCGATTCTTATCAAAACCAACATACTTGTTATACTTTATACGTTTTACACATGCACCATCAAGGCCATGAGTTTGAAGCGTCCAGTCAATTATATCGGTTTGTAGCAGCGTCAAAATCATTATGTATATTGTGTTAATTTATTCTGTTTTTCCTTCTATTGCAGGGCGATCGAGAGTAAATGCTTCAGAAGAGGAAGAACAAGCCTTGCATGCATTGAGCCTGCAGGATGACGCATAAGACTGTTGGTAAACTAACCCCCCTTCTGTACATTCCCGCGAATTTTAATTTTTAAAATAATAAATAACTGGTGGTTCCATTCCGTGTTCTCCCTGTGTTGTGAAGTGCTCAGTTAACCTTGTGTGTATGTGGTTTAGATCTTTCAGCTCGCTCCAGTGACTGCTGAATACACGAGTTACAGGTTTCTTTGACTTCGCCTTACAGGTTGTTGATTATCAATTTCATTTCTAATGTAAGTTCGTCATGTTCCTTAGCTAAACCGTAAGCTAGAGTCACATTTAATACCTTCGCATTCCAAACCTTATGAAATATGTATATCTGTAATTTTGGCACAAACATTTTGTGACGAATCGAGATGAAAACTATGTGCACAAGCCAATTAATATTTTTTTATTTCCCTCAGTACATTTATCCTTCCATCGGGATTTACATCTGGATTGTTGGATGCTACTAATCGTGCTCGGTTAGTAAGAACGTTAAACGAAATTTTGCGTAGGCCTATGTTTTTCGTTCAGTTGGCCATACATTGTAGGTTTCTCCCCGACCAGGCATATATGAACTATGGAAAACATCACAAAAAGTCGTCCCTCATCCTGGATTTACGTTTTGCTGCGCTTCTAACTTTTGGAGTTAAACTTTCACTCTTAACGCCAACTCCCACGTGTCCTTTCATTATCTGTGTGCAGAGTAAAACAAGAGCGGCGGTCTCCATATGAAATCCAAATTTCACACACTTAGGTTCCTGTAAACTATACGGAACTGTGTGGTTTGCATCCGATATCTGTTGATACACTTATGACAAGTTCTTTTATTTTCGTCAACTGACCGTTTTAGGTTCCTTCTCCATTCCAAGTGACCGGTCACTTAAAGCAATCCATTCAACGCCCTTTTTTATGTAATCTAAAGTGCCTATCTTCTAGCTATTTACGCAACCAGTGACTTAATACTTATGTCACGGGATTTTTGACCATCAGTTTGCATGCACAAACCCTATTTTCTATCTTGATTTAAGTTGACTCAAGTTCCAAAACTTCTTAAAACATGGGTCGAGTTTAAGTACATGCGAAATGCCTGTTTGTTTTTGGGTTTTCCTATATAATCGTGTCCATTAGTTTCACGCAATGGTATTTTCGTATTGCTTAATATTGTTCATTATTTTTTCGTCTATCCCTCAGAGCTTCGCGGCTTTAGTACTTAAAACAGGGTATATGTAATTTGATGTCATCGTTAGCAGATTTATATTCAACGTCTTTATATTTAGCAGGACTGACTCAGGTCACTTGTTGATTTGTCGATCATTATTGTTTTGTTCTTGACGGGATATATGTTGCTCATATAGTGTTTAATCGACTTTTGACTTTCAATAGAATTCGGTTCCAGACATTGTAGTGCAAGTTGTTGGTGTCGAAATGTCAACTTGCTGATTATGATTACTCTATCTTCTGATATTGTTCATTGTAGTCTTAACTATTATAATCAATATCCAAACATGATTATCGTTCAAAGGGGAGGAACCAATTCGCGGAATAAAATATATGTAATGACGTTAAAACTCAAGATGTAAGGGAACATAATAATGAGTGCACATTACCGTTTCACTCACTATCCAAGTAACTCAGCTTTTAATCAGTGTGGCCTTATATACGCTTGAACCCTTAGCCTGGTGAACTGGGAAGTTGTGCTTCATGTTGTACAACTCTACTTTCTCCATACTGCAGTTTTTTCGTTTACGTTTTGGTCACTTCGTGAGATACTATTATCTTGTGTAAATATATGCCCCCAAATGCCCTGGTATAGCCGAGAGCGGGGAGGGTTCGCCCTCCCTCTCGAAATACTGTCACACGGCCACGCGTATACAGCCTCTGCCAGGGAAGTCCTACTCACTACCTTCTCGTGGCGGGGGTGTTGTTTACGAAAATGAGAGGACGAAAAGCGAACGTCCGGCGCTTTAACCGGATCCCAATTCTATGGTGCACATGGGCTCCAGTATCCTGAAGGAACAAATGGCGTATGAACCAACTTTTGGTCACCGGCTTCCATGGGACTGCATCTCCTCACGATGCTCCACTGCCTTGTGGACTAGACCTTTAGGTCAAAGGCTCGGGGTGTGGCCCCCTAAGAAAACCACCTGCTTCGGTTTGGGCACCCGAGCAGTATCTCAGCCCACACACTAAAACCATGATGAACTATCTGCTTATGGAAAATATTCGTTTCTTTCCGACTAACATTGAAATGACTGGTATTATTATTATTATTATTTACTACGTCATTTATTCACTATCTCCTATTTCTACTTTTTGTATCCGTTTCAACTCAGACATCAGCTCGCCTATGGTGAAAATTCAGCTTTATCTAAACGTTCTCGAGTCACTGCCTGGTTGAAAATTGTATATTGCCACCGAATAAGAGTACTGAAGCAGTTTTTCTGAAACCACGCGCACCATTCAAACTGGCTGCCTTCAACGTTCGCACACTTATGCAGGTCGGACAACAGATAGGGCTGGTTATGTCTTTGGAAAGTCTTAATATTGACGTTTGTTGTCTATCCGAGACCCGTATTCAAGACTGGTGAAGTACTACAAATTCGCTCTCCATCTTTCGCTTCAAAAAGCTTGTTTTATGTGCGTTTATCCGGGGACCCTGTGGCATCTTCGTCTGGTCTTGCTGGCGTTGGTGTCGCACTAAGCGCTAGAGCTGAGGCAGCACTAATCGACTGGATCCCCACTAACAGTCGGTTATGTGCTGTTAGATTAGAAAGTTCCATCAAAGTGAGAAGAAATCGGTGTGAGAAACGATGTCTTTTCGTCCTCTCCGCCTATGCTTCGACAGATTGCAGCCCGGATGCAATCAAGGATGAGTTCTACCACCAGTTAACTGTTCTTCTCCAGAAAGTGCGTTCGACAGATATTGTAGTACTAGCTGGACACTTGAATGCTCAGGTCGGGCATCTAGGCACAGAAGAGAGTCGTTTAGGTGGCCGGTGGGGATTCGTTGGTCGCAGGACAGATAACGGGGAACGTCTACTGCAACTATGCACAGACCACAACTTGTTTCTGGCTAGCACTAACTTTCGGCAGTCATCGCCGATGTGCCACCTGGCGTCCCCCTTCTGCATCTCAAGCCTGGACTCAGATTGATCACATCGCGATCAGCTACCGCTGGCGCGGTTGTGTACAAGACTGCCGCTCCTTTTGGAGTACCTATCTGGAATCTGATCATGCTCTGGTCTGCGCCAATCTTACTTTACTTTTCAGTGGACAACGAAGTGACCGCCACCACAGGATTGATGTTAGCAAGCTGGCTGCAAATTCTGTTGCTAGTATGTACCGAACCGAGCTAGCTTCTAGGCTAGCTACCATTCCACCGAAAAGTATAGATGAGCATTGGTTGCAATTGCATGACGCCATGAAAATGGCGGGTCAAGTCAGTTGTGGGTTTGCGGAACGTCCCGCTTACAAGCACTGGGTTTCTTCTGGTTCCTTACAATTGATTGAAGCCCGTCGGTCTACTCCGGGTGACCGTGAGTTTGACCACAGACGAAGGATGTTACGTAATGAAATCGGGCAAAGCTTGCGTAAGGACCGAGAAGCCTGGTGGTCGGAGCGTGCCAGTGAGTTGGGAGAAGCAGCTGCATCTGGTAATTATCGGGAGCTCTTCCAATTCATCCGAGCCACTGGCAGCAAGAAGTCTGGTGTGAGCGAAACAATCTGCGAGGATGACGGAACGCCAATCACTAACATCCATCGACGTCTTGGACGTCTTGCAGAATTCTTTGAAGGGCAGTTCAACTGGCCTGCTGCTCCGGCAACATCGGTCAGACTGTCCTGCCCTCCATAGCCGGTGACGACTGATCCACCAAATGAGGCGGAAGTCCGTAAGGAACTCCAACTCTTGAAACGTTACAAATCACCGGGCCCAGACGACTTACCTCCGGCTCTTTCTAAAGATGGTGGTGACTTTCTGACTAGGGGACTGACGTTGTGTTTACAAAGATCTGGGAACTAGAGAGTGTACCAACGTCATGGAATGAGTTGATGGTTGTCCCTATCTTTAAAAAGGGTTCACGTCGTTCCTGTAACAACTATCGGGGGATAAGTCTACTTCCGATTGCGTCTAAGCTATTGGCTTCCGTCATACTTCGTAGATTGTTCAGAACCCGAGAAGGATTGATTCGCGAGTAGCAGGCTGGGTTTCGTTCCGGTTGAGGATGTATTGATCATATCTTCACCCTCCGCCAAGTGTTAGAACACCGCCATACTTATCAAAGGTCAACAATTGTAGTGTTTCTTGATATCAGGGCTGCCTTCGATTCGTTGGACAGAACTGTTCTCTGGGATTGTCCATTGAAGAAGGGTGTGCCTGAGAAGTTTATTAACATCCTAAAAGCTTTATACACAAACACCTCAGGCATAGTGAGGGCATACAACCACCTCTATCCATTGTTCCATTCAAGCAGTGGAGTTAGGCAGGGTTGCCCAATCTCACCATTCCTCTTCAACTTTGCCGTCGATGACATTCTGGAAACAGCTCTGATGGATGTAAGTAATGGTGGTGTGGATCTGTTGCCTGGAGAAAGACTTCTCGACCTTGAGTATGCTGATGATATTGTCTTACTGTGCGAGAATGCCCAAGCCATGCAATCCGCACTTAATCAGTTGGCAATCAGTGTCCGTAGGTATGGTATGTGCTTTGCACCTTCGAAGTGCAAAGTACTTCTACAAGACTGGCAGGATTCTAATCCTGTACTCACTCTGGATGGTGAGCAGTTAGAAGTAGTCGAGAAGTTCGTGTATCTAGGTAGCTGCATAAGTGCTGGTGGTGGCATGAGTGATGAGATCAATGCACGTATAGTGAAAGCCAGAGCGGCTTATGCCAATCTGGGCCATCTTTGGCGCCTTCGTGATGTTAGTCTGGCTGTAAAAGGTCGGATCTACAACGCGACGGTGAGAGCAGTTTTGCTCTATGCTTGTGAAACCTGGCCTCTCCGAGCTGAGGATGTTAGACGACTCTCTGTGTACGATGATCGTTGTCTCTGAAGGATTGCTGGCATCCAGTGGCAACACCATGTCAGTAATGCAGAGGTTCGGCATCGAGTGTTCGGTTACAGAGACGATAATTCCATTGGTGTCACCATCTTGAAACACCGACTTCGGTGGCTTGGACATGTTCTACGAATGTCGTCCCAGAGAATTCCTCGTCGTGCATTATTTGCCGACTCTGGGACTGGTTGGAAAAAGCGGAGAGGTGGTCAGTATATGACATGGTGTCGTGGTATGAAAGAAAGCTGCGAAGGGCTAGCTTCTGTTGGTCCTTCACGACTCCCTGGCTGGGGTCCGAGAGACGGTGTAACGCAGTGGCTAGAGACGTTATCAGATATGGCTCAGAATAGAAGCCAGTGGCGATCGTGCTGTAACCTTGTTTTACTTTCTTCATAAAAAGTGGTTGCTTCTTCCTTAACTGAAAGATTTCTTCTGATTGTACCTTTCCGTTTTCCCCATTACTGTTCGCTCTCTCTCTCTTTTTATAATTCCCCACGTTCATTACTTTTTTTTCTCTCCTTCTCTTCAAATTATCATTGTTTTGTGTGGCGCATATATATTTGGTGCCCCCCTGTACCAATATTTATGTGTTCAAATAATAATAATAATAATAATAATAATAATAATAATAATAATAATGTATAAATATATGGTTTTATCAACGCCCTTAATCTATACCAAATATTGTCATATATATTTATGATATAACAGGACTTTATTTCCACATGATAGGAATAGTTATTTAGATCGAAATGATATATATTAAAACAGATAATGTTAGATTATTTACTAGCTCATGAAGTTGTTCTTTACTTGCGAAACCTGTGATGATAGATTACTCCAATATCTTTCTTGTCCATGTAACCAATTTATAGTGTCATGTGTAACTAACACTTCAGATAAATTAAATTGCGAAACATCTCCAGTCACTCCACAAGCATTATAAATAGTTCTCACGTGTCTCCAAAAATATCGAGTTTTGGATGTAATGACTTGCTCCAATTAACCTGTATATTTGTTTCTGATTAATACATTTCCACAGACGAGATTGTAGTATATGTGTGCATATTTTACCTATCATAATAACTTATTGTTGATTCTATCATTATTATCATTGTTGTTATAGATACATCTCCATCTAAAAGTCTTCCAACTATCTCCATGCAACCTGGACAGTTGCGACGCGAGCAGCCTATACAACCTTCGTCGATTCAGAAGGTAATTGGTTCACATTTAGATGTTTAATCATACTTTTCCCGATCATTTGGTTTAAAATTACTTGAATGGTCCACTTAATAATATAAACTGATTTTATTGTTACTGTGGCGCTTTTAGTTAGTCAAAACCTCAGATATATGGTAGTTCATGTTATCTTGTCGTAAGACTAATGCTAAAAATTCCAGAAAAGTTGGACAACCATCGAATTAAAGTCCAATGCACTTTATAGAGGCAGATTATAGATATAACTACTCTACAGATAACCTTTATAAACCTTATCTTTGTTGGGGAATATACATAATTCTTCTAGTGCTCCTGCATTCATCTTTTGAAGGATATTTCAGCCTTTGAAAAAAATTAATCACATTGAATCGGTTGTTCAGTCCTTAGTAAGTAACCAGATATCTTGTTGATGCTAGATGCTGAAGAGTACTAGAAATTTCTAGAGATTTCCATACCTAAATTTCCAGCTATTGACCAACCTCACAGCTTGATTTTACTGCTGGCTTCATAACTCGTAACATTATTTTGGTTGACAGTAATTGTATTACTTTCTAAGTAATACTTTGCAAGGTGATTCACTTTTATGTGTAAGTCATTCTGGGGTTTTAAAAATTCACTATTTATTTTTAATTTTTGAACTTTAATCGGCCTACTTCTTAAATTCCATTATTTTAGCTTATGGTATTGTTTGAAATAGGTTGATTTTAAAAAATTTCTTTTCTTTTTAATTGAACTTTGGTGTTTATGAGTTTTGTGAATTTCTAACTCTATACCTTGATATTTTCCTCTCCTTTGTAGATGCTAGATGAGAACGTCCGACTTATACATAGTCTTATGGCACATCAAAGAGTTGGAGCCGTTAAAGAAGCAGTGGAATTAGAACGTGTTTTACATCGTAATCTTATTTATTTAGCCACAATTGCTGACCGTACAGCGACCCAGCCTGCAGTTGGACCAACAAATTGTTCACACCCAATTCCTTCTGGTTTGACTCAACCTAGTCAAATTCAAGACTCGGCACCAAATTATCCATTATCTGTAGTTAACGCATCATCGGATTTATCTCAGTCGTCTGTTGTTGGACAACCTCATCAAATTTCAGTTAGTTCGTCAGTTCAGCATCCAGTACCTATGGCAGTCGGTCCTACGACAATATCTACTGTTGGAAATCCTATTATGTATCAGCAGTATCTTGTTTCCTCTGCTTCTCATGTTCCAAATAATTTACAAGTTACACCACAAAATCATATGGCAATAGGTGGTTCTGGTCAGTTTCAACAACATGAACGTGTAGTGCAACATTCTGATGGACAAATCGCATCTGTCGAATCGAGTGGTAATATATGAGACATTTATCGAGATAACGTTTATTGTTATCAACACATTTAATAGGATTTTATAGAAATTAACAGTACTCCGTTTCATTATATCTATTAGGTATACTTTTCGAAAATTGTTTGCTAATATTCGATGTAACCTCGAAATTCTACTGATTAATCAGAAGGCAGAGTCAATTTCTATACACTCTCAATTTAAGAACTTTACAGCTAAAAGCTTTCACTTTTCACCTCCAGCTTATAGTTTTAATTTCATTTTATAACTCATCTAATCGATCACTGACTACAGCTAAACACCATATCTTTTTTGACTACCCTAGCAATTTAGTCACACTTCAAGTGATATCTCATTTCGGGATAGCTTGGGCCTGGGTGTGTGAACTTACTAAGACAGCATTACGTGACATAAATTAACGTAAATTGAATCAGCACGTTATCAGGAAATTACTTTAAATTGGTAACACTGTGGTGTGTGCTACTTATGTAGACATAAGTAGTATATGACGTGAGTCGTGAACAGAATGTCTGGCAGCAGAGAGACGAGAAGATCGAACAATAAAGAATGAAGAAAGAATGCAATTTGTATGAAAATGCAAGAACAAAGGAATTCTGAGTCATTTGAGACAATTGATAAACATTTTGCGAATGGAGCATTTAATATATGGTTGTTAGATTTTACTAACTAGTTCTGTAATTTGTTGTTAAGTACATTCGATTGTCCTCACTAGTGTTCTGTTCACTACAACACTAACCCTCACTATTACTGTTGATAGAAATTCAGTCGGAATAGTCATAGAACCTAAGTTAGTTTCACCTTTCTGAAATGTTGGTGAATTCGTCTAGTTTGTTATTTGAAATGTATACGACTGCGTATAGTCTTTATTCCAAGCTACTAATCTTGACTGTTGCAAGTTTATATTCCTTCACAAGGTGAGGTGGACAATTTTGAATTAGTGATTTGCTATCTGGCTATATCTATGATTACTCTTATGTACACTTACCCCAACCGTTATCAAATTCGTGTAATCATCGGTCGGTGTGTAGGAAAAATCCCTTTGGCCGACTCACTTTTTCCCTAAGATATTTTACTCGATGTTAGACTTACTGATTAGTTTGTTGTACCCCATTTTGGCAATGCTTTGAATATGGAACCGCACATTTAATGCCTTCAGTAGCCCTGTGTTATAATGCATTATGACAAAAAAGAACATTGATACATATTAGTATGTACAATATTTTTAATTGACCACTATAAAATTACTGGATGCGTACGATGCACATTTTTTCGATCGCGTTTACTATGGGGTAAAAATTATATTTTTTCTATCTAGGTACTGTTTCACCCAATTCAATCGCAATGGTTTCCTCATAATTTACATGTATTAAAAACAAGTAAGCTTGTTCTTACTTCTATTGTGCATAAAATAATTCGCTAGCTATTTCTTTTCTGCGTATTTATAATCTGCATTATTCTGGTAAATTAACGTGAACATATGCCTAGATGCTGACTTACAACAAACCCGAGAACAGCTATTCTAATACCGAACATGAGTGGAATATAGAATCTTACATTATAACATGTTTCGAGTTACTACGCCTCTCAACAATGCTAAAGATTAAAAAAATTGTTCAAGAAGAAAATCATGTGAAGGAACCAATATGATACCTTAAGCAAATGTACAATTGGGTCACAGTTATCCATATTGAACATAATTCAATATTTTTTTAAAAAAATAACTCGGAAACGAAGTGCACGTTCATGCATTCGGCTTTCAGTCACACTTTTTTTACATGGCATTGCGTAATAGTGTCAAGCTGCTGTAATAGCGAGGCTTGAATCTACGAATTTAAGGTTTTGCAGTTGAATGTTTTAATAAGTGAACATTTAGCTTAGTTATGTTTTATTTAAATACATAACTCATCTTGTTATCCGCGTATGAGTTCTCTCACAACTGCTAACAGTCACTATCATAAGTTGTTTGATGGTGACAATCTTCTCAGGCACTCCCTAGTATCAAAGATTTTTCTACAAGGTTTCCCCATACACGCTGCTGAATACTTTCTTATAATGAAGGAAGCTGATGTAAAGGGATGTGTTTCATTTGATTGATTATTGAAAAAATGGTTGGCAGTAATGCGACTAAGCTGTTATGTGCTTGATCCTTACGAAAGCCAGTTCTTTGATCTGGAAGTTGGGCGTCTAGTGGATCTTTCATTCGGTTTAGCAAAATACAGCTGAATATTTAGTCTGGTACTGACAGTATTATTGTTCCACTGTGATTCTCACACTTACTAAGATCTTCGGTATCTTGTTGAGGTCTTCGTCTTTCCAGTCTGTCGCCAGTTGCTCTCCTTCCAAAAATTTTCTGAATATAACATGGGACTTATTTTCAGTTGTCTCTATATCTGGATTTAATACTTCAGCTAATGTGTTGTTTTGTCCTACTGCTCTGGCATTCCGTATTTGTTTGATGGCCTTGCTAATTCCTCCTGTTGTCAGTCGGATATCATCTATAAAAATGTCTCTATGATGCTTTGATGTCCGGTGAGTGCAGTAGTGCTAGTCTCTTCAAAATGCTCTACTCACTCGTTCCAGTGCTTAGTTTCCCTTTTTTGTCCTTGTTTAGTCTTTGTGCTCCACTGTACTTCCCTACAAGCTTCTTGGTTGTGTCACACATTTCTCTCATGCGTCCTTTTCTTACAGCGTTTCCTTGTGTAGTTGGTAGGTCTTCTGCATATTTCCCCTTGTCATCGCTAATATCCTGCTTCACTCGTCTATCTGCTTCTGTATATTCGGCTTTCTCTGGGTTTGTTCGTCCATTGTTGATTGTTGCCTCCTTGTTTTCCGTTCTTGAGGAGTTTTCCTAACGGTGTTTACAAAGATGCATTTTTACGCTGGTGCTTCATTGGCCCCAACAAGTGGGATGCTGAATTTATTACTTCTTTAGCGCTGCCCCAGTTGATCATCATAGTGGTTCCTTCTTTCTCTAGTAGATCTTGTAAAAATGGGAAGCTGTTTCTGAGAGCTGTCTTGAACTCGGTGAGCTAGTTAGAGTCTTGAAGGAAGGTTATATTAAACTTTTGTTGTGCTGGTGCTCAGGTGTTCAATGTCTGTTCAGCTTCAGTTCTACCTTGGCCACCACTAGATGGTTATGAGAAGCTATATTAGCTCCGTCTGTTCTCACGTATTGGATGGACTTTCTGAATGCTTTACTCCTGTAGATGTGTTGTATGGTGAAGCCGATGCGGTTTTGTTCATGGGTTTGTTGGAGAAAGTGCTGCTATCTATGACGGTGTAGACTCACTAGTCTCTCATGGTCTCCGTTTCCTTCTCATAATCCATGTCACTCCATCAGGATGGTCAGGTCTTTTCCTAAGCTGTTCTGTGCGACGGACCGCAACCTATCACAAAACTGGTCTCCATCGTCCTCACTGCCATCTTTGGTGGGTGTGTAACACTGGATGATGTTCATCGTAATCCTTTCCTTCTTTGATTTAAAGGATGCTTTAATTATTCTGGGGTCGGAACTTTCCCATCTTATCAGCGGTTTCCGTGCTTCTTTGGACAGGATCAGTACAACTCCTTATATGTGTGTAGAGGGGTACTTTCTTCATGACCAGAATACTACAACAGCTCTCCTGAAGTTAGTCTTCTCTGTGTAGATTGTGTCCAATGGGTTTCACTTATTCCAAGCACGGTCATGTTGTGTCTTCTCTTTTCTGCTGTTGCTTGAATGGTCCTCTCTATCCCTCCTACATTGTGTGGACATTCCATGTGGCTGTATTATTAGTTGTTCTGGTTGCCAGAAGTGGTACCGGTTCCGTGACTTGTGAAGAGTCTTGGGTTTTACCATGTATACCCTTGAACTCCCAGATCAGAGTCTAAGCAGTTGAAATGACTTGTGTTATTGACGCTTTTCTAGAGGAGTTCTTTTGGTACTGAGTGTGGTCTCTAACTGCACGGTAAATTTTCCTCCTTTACCCGGGCCCGAAATCGGGGTTAACTATAGAGTTGCTGTTGTTGGTGCTAAGAAAACTATCAAAGGGTACAAAACAACCTTGCTGTGGTGGAGTGGCTAATATCGAAGTTTAATTATATTCAAGCTTTAGGTGAAATACGAAAGTGATATATCCGTTTATATAATGAATTGCTAATGCTTAAAATCCACATCATTGGGTCAGTAATAAGGGTGGTAAAAATTTAAAAGTGCATAGTTTGATTCTAGTGAAATTTAGTGTAATCAAATGTTTTGACTATAGGTATACAAAAATTAACAAAGAACTAAATTATTTACAAAAATAGGCTTACGTTTCTTTTTGCTAAAATGTGTACAAATGACTCTTATCTTAAAGTAGTGATCACCTGATTTTCGCAATTATACGGTACTATAAAAGATCAGATTCTATGCTTTTCCGTAATTTGTTTAAGCTTATAAAATATCTGCCAAAACTTATTATGAAAATGCACAAACTACAAAACAGACATACTTGCGATATTTTACCATTCAGCATTTATGTTATTCTAAAAAGAATGAATATTGACTGTGTACTGTTTTTTTTAACAAATTACTTTAACCCCTTCACCAGATAGTTGGAAATGAGCCACACTGCGAGAATGTGGCTACTGATTCTGCGCGGTTGCCCAAACCAAAGTAATTGAAACGGGGTTTGAATCTGGGACTTAGTGGCTGAAAGTCGAATACCGTAGCCACTGGACTACTGCTCCCTTGTGCTATACTGTACTCTAATATACGTTGCGTATTGTCTAAAAAGATTAGGTGAATTGTGTTTGTTTTACTCACCCAATCTGTCTTTGTGTTTGATGCATAACCTTGACATCATGCGTCAAGATAATAAGGGTTTATCTTTCTCACTTGAAAAGTTCTTAATTTGTAGTGAAAAAGAACAAATAGTGAATTTTAGTTTAAAAGGATAAATAAAATAGCGAAATTTCTTTATGGTTGCCGTTATGCGTAAGTCACTATATGCGTTTTGGAGCCAATAATATTCACGTGTATGTATTTTTTACTGTAAATTTTCTCAGATTTAGGTAAAGTAATTATATAAAGGTAACTTACATCATGAATCTGCCAAATTGTCAGGGAACACTGAATATTGATATTTAACAGTATTGCACACCCACAACTTCAGTTAAAATGGAATTCAGGTCTCGTGGAAATATCAAATACGAGTTAGACACTGATTTCACTATAAATTTGATGTATATTTTGACAGTCAAAATATCGATAATAAGTATTCAGATACATATTTATAAATAACCTGACTCTAAGTAGTTTTCCAGAAATCAATATACGTACACTACTGTTCGAATATCTAATTCAGTGTATATAGTCGGGCGTTTGAACTAATTGGCTATAAGTTCGACCAGTTAGTTGATCCCTTGTATAAATTCGTCGACGTCTTTAGTTTATATGTGTTGACTTTTATCAAAAGCTTGTTCAGTACTTCGATTAGAATATTTCTCCGACCTATTTTTTGAAGGGACAATCTATAACATAATTTCATGAATAATATACTAGTATTAATGGATGTTACTTCTCAACAAAGCACTCAGTTGACCAGCCCATAAGTGAAATATTTTGTTAAAACGGAGATGCTTATTCGACATAGTATATTGTCTTTTGCAGACTGTTAATAAATTGAGAAGAATTAGAATACTAAAGATATAATAAACCAGGTATGTATTTAAAGAACACTTGTTTGAAATAGTAGATTGGAAGGTAATGTAAATTAAAACCTTTTTATGAACAAAGAGAACCCAGTACTACGTTGTTGTCACGACCAAAAACAAATGAATTGATATTTGTTATTTATTCGGTTCCATGTTCTTACTCAGGTGTTGGCAACTGAAGTGAACTATAACTTGGAAACAGAACCTGTTGATGTTTGTTAATAACAAAACATTAATGATACAAACCTGAATCACTGTCCAAAATAGTTATTTGCATTGACTCTGAATTGAAACCAAAGTAAACTAATTTCTTACTGACAGTAAACTGTTTTATATTATGTAATCGCTTTTGTTTACTGAATTCTGTCGTCTGTCCTTCCTTATTGGTGAAGTGAATACTAAAAATAATTCTTTTCACAAATTCCTGTTGTATGTGCAATTTCATCCTTCTGTAATAAAGGCAAGTACACTAATAGTCAATTTTAGGAGGACTAAATTCCAAATCCAGATTTTTCGCACTAGAAATACTTGTCACTATTTTCAAAATTTATCATTTGCTAAAACTCAATCAATTTATTTGACTAATATACATTTTTCTTCTCTATTCCTCAAGGTTTATGTGTTCATACTGTTCAATTATGTTGATTCGTTTAGACTAACCTAAACCCCGACGTTCAAAAATGAGTGACCAATAATTTTGAATATGATTGGTCAGCTTTCAACATCTCATCGTCCAATCCTTAATTTTTTTATGAGCGGACGTTTTTTTTAAAGCTATGTGACAGTTTTAATCACCATTTTTTCTGTTTCTAAAAGCAATTAATAAGATAAAGGCGAATAAATGTTTTATTCCCGAATTTCTGATTTCCAAAAAAAATCATAATGTAACTTATATTTGAATGATTATGCCTTTTCAAACTAGACTGAACAATAATTTAAGAACAACGTATCCGAAGAGCTTTATGTAGTGACAACTTGATAATAATGTATCACCATATAAACAGTAAAATATGTTTTTATTTTTTTGAACCAAGTGTAAATTTATTGCATCATTTCAATGTCATGTAATTACTGTTATCGGTTTGAAGACTTTTCCCTTCAAATTATGTCCGATTTCTGCAGTAAACACACGTGTGTAACAGCTAATTCAAATGTCCGTTGTCTACACAGTATTATACAATCAAAAGTTATGATCTAGTAGCGATAAGTACTAATATTCTTTTTTTGTTACGAGTAATTCTCTATTAATCCCTATCACTATATGGCAAAGTAAATGGATTAAGGTGTGTGAACTGTTTACTAAAATGTAGAAAAAAGCGAACGACAATTAAGTTAGTATTACTTTACCATTCGACAGTCAAATAGTTTTTCAAAGTTATCATTCCCTGTATAAAAAACAATTCCAACAACAACCAGATCAAGTTAAGTTACAATGTCTGCATACAAATATAAAACTGATAAATGAAGTTGTTTACAGTTAGTTTTGGTTAACTATTTTACAATGTATATTTAAGCTAACGGTTTCATTCAACTAATAAACTGACCCAGAGATCATGCTAATAAATTTAACTTAGAAAGCTTCGAAGAAATTAGTCCCTTTGATAAATCTAGATAGTGTGATAAGACGAAGATTATCAGAACTGTATAATCAGATTGTTCGAAATGTATTGCACTAATATTTCACATAGTTCTAATAATCCTCGTCTTCTTATTACACTGGACCGCTTTAAAAATACTCTAAAAGTGACTTTAAATCTTCAATATGTTTCAATTGATTGACGCGTTATTAACAAGTGTGGTCTATTAATAACTGCATTTATAAAATACACGCACTTTACAATCACTAATTTCTTTTTTTTTTATTTGGAGACTGTTCATACGTTCGATAAATTAGTTCTAAGAATATAATGAAGTATCGCTTAGGGAATAGCAAAAAAAAAATTGATGACTGTTCGAATCGGTGTGTCTATATTATATTCCATACCTAAATTCCTTTAGACATAATTAAGTGTTATAACGTGTGACCCGCCTAGTAGAGAGCAGCCTATTATCGATCGAAACAGTGACGCATAAAATACGTGCGAGCAGCCTAGAGTTCTGATTGGCACTGCTTCCCTGTCTAGCCCCGCCAGTTGAGTCCAGAACACAAGTCTCAGCCTCGGTGATATGAATCATTATATTTCAAACATACTCTGTTTATATAGCAACCAAACAGACCACAACGTTCCATAAAATGGAAAATAACATTTGTACAGGATTTAACCTTCAGGAAATGACACAAATAAATATTGACCAATAGGGAAATGACACGTTGGAAGAATGTTGACCAATGAGGGAATGACACTACTTCTCATTCAGGAATAGTATTAGATAATTTCTGAGGTATTTGCTGAATACCCCAACACCTCCCCTTCTTTGAAGATCCGGACCTGATATCCGGAATATAAGTTTCCTGGGTCCATCCTCCCCCACGAAATAATGTTGGGTCCTCATATACCCAAATTACAATTAATTTGACTGTATTTAAAACATTTTGAACAGGGGATCCAGTAAAACTGACCAGATAATGAGGATAAACGCCATTTAGTTCGAAGTCATCGGAGTTCGAATCTTTAGTAGATAATGGATCACTATGATAATCAGCGTCCAACAAAACTGCACGAAGTTCTTGATTAACGTCTGATGCATCCGACAAATTTTTCTCATTGTAAGAAATTCGATCAAAAGCATAGGAGTCATTAAGATAACTCATACCTGGTAGAACAACTAGAGAACCGTGGTAAGTAGATTGATCAGGAACTTTTGTTCTGGAATGATGAGCTCTATTTGATGCAACTGTCGTCATTATGGTGCTTGACTAATTTTCTTTCTCTTCGTGGGCGGGTACTGCAGTAATTTCATGAGCATTTAATAAGACGTCGACTTTCTGTGAGCTGTTTGTACATGGCGCTTCAGAGGCAGTGGGATTTGAACCCACGACAGGGCATGTCTCTGGAATGGACATTTCTGGATCTCTGGACGGATCATGAATGACTGCTTCACTTACATTACTGCTCATCAAGGATTCATAGAGGCTTTTATCAACACATTCATATGTACTGCAGTCAATTTCCAGCTCCGTATGCAAATTAGAAATTAGTTTATCAACTTCTGTTACATCTCCAAAACATGGATGATTTAGCAGCCGTGCGCGTGAATTGTCTAAAACATTCAACTGGCTATTTTTGAAGCGCTGCGTTTGTCGCTCAAATAGTAACTGTAATTGATCGGGAGAGATAGCCATTTCCTGAATCAGCACGGCAATGAGAAATGCTGTATGATTAATTAACAACCAATGTCTTTCAAGGACGCCGATGACAAAACTGAATGCTGATTGCTCGAAAATAATTAGACTGAATCTCGTCCAATTACAGGCTAACGTTGAAGATTGAGGGTTCAGAAATTTTTTTCTACCCCGTCGCCAATTGTTATAACGTGTGACCCGCCTAGTAGAGAGCAGCCTATTATCGATCGAAACAGTGACGCATAAAATACATGCGAGCAGCCTAGAGTTCTGATTGGCACTGCTTCCCTGTCTAGCCCCGCCAGTTGAGTCCAGAACACAAGTCTCAGCCTCGGTGATATGAATCATTATATTTCAAACATACTCTGTTTATATAGCAACCAAACAGACCACAACGTTCCATAAAATGGAAAATAACATTTGTACAGGATTTAACCTTCAGGAAATGACACAAATAAATATTGACCAATAGGGAAATGACACGTTGGAAGAATGTTGACCAATGAGGGAATGACACTACTTCTCATTCAGGAATAGTATTAGATAATTTCTGAGGTATTTGCTGAATACCCCAACACCTCCCCTTCTTTGAAGATCCGGACCTGATATCCGGAATATAAGTTTCCTGGGTCCATCCTCCCCCACGAAATAATGTTGGGTCCTCATATACCCAAATTACAATTAATTTGACTGTATTTAAAACATTTTGAACAGGGGATCCAGTAAAACTGACCAGATAATGAGGATAAACGCCATTTAGTTCGAAGTCATCGGAGTTCGAATCTTTAGTAGATAATGGATCACTATGATAATCAGCGTCCAACAAAACTGCACGAAGTTCTTGATTAACGTCTGATGCATCCGACAAATTTTTCTCATTGTAAGAAATTCGATCAAAAGCATAGGAGTCATTAAGATAACTCATACCTGGTAGAACAACTAGAGAACCGTGGTAAGTAGATTGATCAGGAACTTTTGTTCTGGAATGATGAGCTCTATTTGATGCAACTGTCGTCATTATGGTGCTTGACTGATTTTCTTTCTCTTCGTGGGCGGGTACTGCAGTAATTTCATGAGCATTTAATAAGACGTCGACTTTCTGTGAGCTGTTTGTACATGGCGCTTCAGAGGCAGTGGGATTTGAACCCACGACAGGGCATGTCTCTGGAATGGACATTTCTGGATCTCTGGACGGATCATAAATGACTGCTTCACTTACATTACTGCTCATCAAGGATTCATAGAGGCTTTTATCAACACATTCATATGTACTGCAGTCAATTTCCAGCTCCGTATGCAAATTAGAAATTAGTTTATCAACTTCTGTTACATCTCCAAAACATGGATGATTTAGCAGCCGTGCGCGTGAATTGTCTAAAACATTCAACTGGCTATTTTTGAAGCGCTGCGTTTGTCGCTCAAATAGTAACTGTAATTGATCGGGAGAGATAGCCATTTCCTGAATCAGCACGGCAATGAGAAATGCTGTATGATTAATTAACAACCAATGTCTTTCAAGGACGCCGATGACAAAACTGAATGCTGATTGCTCGAAAATAATTAGACTGAATCTCGTCCAATTACAGGCTAACGTTGAAGATTGAGGGTTCAGAAATTTTTTTCTACCCCGTCGCCAATTGTTATAACGTGTGACCCGCCTAGTAGAGAGCAGCCTATTATCGATCGAAACAGTGACGCATAAAATACATGCGAGCAGCCTAGAGTTCTGATTGGCACTGCTTCCCTGTCTAGCCCCGCCAGTTGAGTCCAGAACACAAGTCTCAGCCTCGGTGATATGAATCATTATATTTCAAACATACTCTGTTTATATAGCAACCAAACAGACCACAACGTTCCATAAAATGGAAAATAACATTTGTACAGGATTTAACCTTCAGGAAATGACACAAATAAATATTGACCAATAGGGAAATGACACGTTGGAAGAATGTTGACCAATGAGGGAATGACACTACTTCTCATTCAGGAATAGTATTAGATAATTTCTGAGGTATTTGCTGAATACCCCAACACCTCCCCTTCTTTGAAGATCCGGACCTGATATCCGGAATATAAGTTTCCTGGGTCCATCCTCCCCCACGAAATAATGTTGGGTCCTCATATACCCAAATTACAATTAATTTGACTGTATTTAAAACATTTTGAACAGGGGATCCAGTAAAACTGACCAGATAATGAGGATAAACGCCATTTAGTTCGAAGTCATCGGAGTTCGAATCTTTAGTAGATAATGGATCACTATGATAATCAGCGTCCAACAAAACTGCACGAAGTTCTTGATTAACGTCTGATGCATCCGACAAATTTTTCTCATTGTAAGAAATTCGATCAAAAGCATAGGAGTCATTAAGATAACTCATACCTGGTAGAACAACTAGAGAACCGTGGTAAGTAGATTGATCAGGAACTTTTGTTCTGGAATGATGAGCTCTATTTGATGCAACTGTCGTCATTATGGTGCTTGACTGATTTTCTTTCTCTTCGTGGGCGGGTACTGCAGTAATTTCATGAGC